CCCCCTGCTGCGCGCCAGCGGGCCGGGCAGCCACCGTGCCCACCACGCACTCGTCCGCCTCTGCCACCCAGAAGCAGGAGCCCCTGCTGCCCAGGTAGGTGGCGCGGATGTCCAGCAGGTCCCCCTGCAAGCAGTGCTCAATGTACATGGCCCAGGCACGGCCCAGCAGCTGCCCCCCCGTGGCCAGCAGCAGCGTGAGGGCCAGGATGGGCAGCAGCAGGGACTTGGAGCTGGTGAGCAGGAGGCAGAAGGTGCAGGCCAGGACCAGGAGCACCCAGGGCTGCTTGAGCACGTGCACACACAGGGCAGGGACGTGCTCGCTCATGCTGGTGGCAAACACCTCGCGCGCCGCCTCGTAGTCCTCGTCCCGGTACGCCCGGATGCGGTAGTCCCCCATGGCGCCCTGCAAGGAGAGTCGGGCCTCAGCGCCGGGCAGGGGCTGCAGTGCCAGCACCACTCTGCAAGCCCCTCCCCTCCGTGCCTCAGTGGCCCCATCTGGGAGAAAGGTTCGCGCCCTCCCCTCGTGCACAGGGCATTAGCGTGTGGAACCGGCAGCTCCTGGAACCCTAGTGGAGACCAGAACTAACCGCTGGGCCCGGCCCAGCCCCGCACTGCAGAGCCCTCCTGGGGTCCCACTCCTGTCCCGGCCCACGTCCAGGCCACCCTTGGACACCCAGCAGCACAGAGCCTGAGGTGGGGACAGTTGCTGCCACGTCGCCGACGGGCTGGCTAGGGCAGAGTTAAGGTGAACTGGCCAAGATGAGAGAATGGCAGAGTCAGCCCCAGAGCAGAGACAGGGACACAGGATGCCTGGGGTCTCTGCACAACTGCCTGCTCCCCTCCCCGACGCTCCCACCCGCCACACCGAGGCCACGTTTCGTGGCGAGGGTCCAGACTTGAGAACCCCTCTGAGCACAGCAAGTGCCCCATCCAACACGCATGTGCCATGCTGTGCCCCACAGCCAGGGCCATCGCTTCCAGGGCTGAGCGGGTAGTGAGGAGCGGCAGCAGCCTGCCAGGGTCAGTCACAGTGGGAAGAAATGCAGCTGGGGCTGCAGTCAAGCTGGGCCTTTCGGGAGCTACACCAGAGCGTGGCCCTCAGCTGCCACCAGGCACTTGCGCGACCCCCTTCCCACCACGGGAGCAGCTTCCCAGGGCGCTGTGGGGCGGCCTAGAGCTATGGGACGTACGGTTTCCTCGGGGGTTTGCTTGTGCGTTGCTAGAAGGCGCTAGGGTGGGTTCATGCTGCAGTCTGGCAGCAACAGGAGAGACTTACCGGCCACAGGCTGCATGTCGAGCTACGGGAAAATTCCTATTTGTCTGGGCCCTGCCCCCAGAGTGCAGGTAGCTCACACCTGGGCGAGACTGTCCTCCTACACAGAGGTGATAAGGCTGAGGGGCTTCCCATGGCATCCGGGCTGCCAAGAAACCCTCAACTCTGAAAAAGCCAAAATAACCGGCCGAGAGCAGACCAGCTAACCGGCTAGGGCAGAAATACAAAGGAGAGCGGCCACCCAAGGCCCAGGGCATCCCATTGTCATGTGCGAGAATCAGATCAAGGATTTCCTGACCTGCTGGGAAAAGACCCCTGCGTAAGGGGAGGGAACATGAGCCCAGCCCAGCCTCAGGGCGGTAGGGGAGGGAGCTGGAGCCCTTGGGGGTGCTAGAATGAGGCCACAGGTGATGAGGAAGCTGATGGCGAACACCTGGGGCTGTTCTAGAGCACGGGGTGAGCACGTGGTATGGAAACAGATGGACATTGACCTTAGGAAGCTGGCAGGGGCGGGGTGAGGGGAGCTGCCAGCAGCTGGCACCCCAGGCGGAATGCGTGGTCAGCACCCCCGCCTCCACAGCCCTCAGAGGTGTGACGTCATTGGGTGCCCCGTTTAACACGGCGCCCTAGGCGACGGCCTAGTCAGCCTATACGCACGGGCCGCCCCGGGAGCTGGGGTGCTTGTGCCTGCACTAAACGTCTTAGTAAACTCCATTTGCAAACGCACAGGCTCTCCCCAGCCAGGCTCCCAAGCACAGACTAATCGAATGCTGGGCCTGCCCCGGACAAGGGCCTGCCCGCCCTACAGGGGAACTGGGAATTCCTAAGGAACCTCCGAGCAGGCCACACCAGCGTGTGAATTAAGCGTCTGCTTCCCTCTGTGCAGCGCTGCGGCCAATGGGAAGCAAGCATGCTGGCTTCCAAACACTTTTGTACTTAACTTCACTGCCATGAAACACCTTTGATGTCAGGACAGTGAAGTGCAGCGTGCGCGAGGCAGTAAAAGACACAGCTGCCATAAGGGAAGTCAGCGTCAGGCCCTTACTAACGCTGCTTTGTGCTTTCATTGGAGCACGGGCCAAGGGAGTTTTACTAGATTATTTCCACATTATCCTTGGGGGTTTTGCTACTGCATTTGAGCAAGACTCGGTTAGCAAGTTAAAACCCAAATGGGCGACACAAAAGCCAAAGCTGTCTGCGCGTCACCGGCACTGGAGCGGAACGATTTCTTGCTATTCGCGGGCAGGTTTCAAGTGGCAGCAGCGCAGAGATGTTCTCATGGCATGAAAAGTGGGCTCCTTCAGCAAACAAACCTTGTTCAGAACTCGGGCATTGGTGCCTATCGCAGAAAATTTTGAAAAAACGAATTAAACAAAAAGGTGGAAAAACCCAACTTCCCCTTTTTTCCATGGTTAGAAGTGGCCACTTCTCCATTTCAAAGCCGGAGCCGCCTTCTCCCTCCCGGTTCCGACGTTCCCTTCCCGCAGCCTCGTTGCATGAGGTCTGTCTCCCGTTCCTTTAGGGCACTGCATCGCCCCCGGGCTGCACTCACAAGGCCACGCTCCTAGCGCCTATGGCCAGGGGCACGGAGCGACGGGAAATCGCTCCCAGGGCGGATCTGTGCCCCCGGTAACCGACCCGAGCAGCCCGGCAATGGAGTCCAGTCCCCTGCCCTCACAGCAGGACCAAGTACCATCCCTGATGAATTTCTGCCCCAAATTCCTAAATGGCCTCTGCAAGGATTGAACTCACAACCCTGGGTTTAGCAGGCCAATGCTCAAACCACTGAGCTATCCCTCCCCCAAGGAAAGGCTCATGCATATCCATGTCCGAGGGCAATTCAGGGTAGAACAAACTTTAAAGGGCAAAATGTTTTCTTAGGAAATTATTTGAGACAGAGT